TTTTCAAAGTGCTTGCTTCATTTTATGTTGTCTTGGTGATTTTATATGGCCTGACATGCACTTACAGTTTGTTATGGATGCTGAGAAGTTCACTTAAACAATATTCTTTTGAGGAGCTGAGGGAGCAGAGTAATTACAGTGATATCCCTGATGTAAAAAATGACTTTGCCTTTATTCTTCACCTGGCAGACCAGTACGATCCTCTGTATTCAAAGCGGTTCTCAATATTTCTCTCTGAGGTGAGTGAAAATAAGCTGAAGCAAATTAGTCTCAATAACGAGTGGTCTCTAGAGAGACTGAAGAGCAAGCTGGTACGAAACCCTCAAGACAAAATGGAACTTCATCTTTTTATGCTTAGTGGTCTTCCAGATGATGTCTTTGAACTCACAGAGATAGAGGTTCTGACTCTAGAGCTTATTCCTGAGGTTAAACTTCCACCGTCTCTAAACCAGCTATCCAATCTGAAAGAACTAAACATTTATCATTCATCGTTAACTGTAGAATATCCAGCACTGCACTTCCTCGAAGATAATCTAAAAATTCTGCGTCTAAAATCTGTTGATATGGGAAAGATTCCACGCTGGGTATTCTATCTTAAAAATTTACAGGAACTGTACTTGACTGGATGTTATGTGCCAGAACCCCAGAATGGCTTCTGCAATGAGGGTTTTCAAGACCTTGTAAATCTGAAAGCAATTCATTTAAAGAACAGCCTTTCCCGCATTCCTCAGGTGGTTACAGACCAATTGCCTTCACTGCAGAAATTATCTATTGACAATGAGGGGAGAAAACTGTTAGTGTTGACCAACTTGAAGAAGCTCTTAAACCTGAGAATCCTAGAACTGATCAGCTGTGATTTGGAGCGCATTCCTCATTCTATTTTCAGCCTAAACTATTTGCGTGAAATAGATTTGAAAGAAAACAATCTCCGAACAGTAGAAGAAATTATTAGCTTTCAGCACCTTGAAAATCTTTCTTGCCTGAAGTTGTGGCACAACAAAATATCTTACATCCCTGTGCAGATTGGTACCTTAGCAAACTTGGAACAGCTCTATTTAAATCACAATAACATTAAAAAAATCCCACCGCAACTCTTTCTTTGCATAAAGCTACATCATCTGGATCTGAGTTACAATAAGCTAACCTCTGTTCCTGATGAAATCCAATATTTAGCAAATTTGCAGTACTTTGCTGTGACAAAGAATCATGTAAGTAGAAGCTAATATTTTCTTTTAAGTGAATATTGAAGTATTTTTCCAGATCCTCCTTATTGTTTCCTCTCATTTATACTGTACCCATCTTTGACTGAACTCTGATCTACAGGTTACCACCACAGCCACAGCCACCCAATGGGCCACGCCTACCCGGCACCCGACGATGCATAAGTGGGTTTTGGGTTGCAGTTTGGGCACTCGGTCTCTAAAAGGTTCGCCATCACTGGTCTACCTAGTGACCAGTTTGATGTAGCAGTTAAGCCCCCAGGCTAAATAGCGGGAGACCATGAGGTCTAGTCTCACCTTAGGCGTGAAGCCAGCTTGTTGACCTTGGCCAGTCCCTCTCTCAGCCCTATTAAAAAGAAGGCAATGGCCAGACCACTACAAGAAAACTGCAGGGACTTGTGTAGGCAGTTCCCAGGAGTCAAGATTGACTTGAAGGCAACAAACAGAAACTATCTACCAGTAGTAGGACTGATCATTGAAGAACTAATGGTGCTCTCTGTGTTTATCAAAGGATTCTGTTGTAGAATGCTGTGTCTTTATATCACGTGAGGGTTCCAAAGTCTACAATCATAGACAAACCGTATTAGTGATGGTGCGTCTTAAGTCATACAAAATTCTTTTGAGAATATAAAGGACAGCATTTCTAAATCTTACTAGTATTCATTGGAAGAGATGACGTACAGGTGCAGAAAGGAAAAAAAACATTTTTTTTTAAATGTGGTGCTGCTCTCCTTGTTTTAGTAAGGGAAACTCATTTCCACTAATTATATTAGGAAGTAACTTTTTATCTATTTTTAGTGATTCAGGAATGAAATCTCAACTCTCTGGTACTTACAAGAAATTCTCTTTCATTAAAAGCTCTTTTTTTTAGCAGGTGTTCCAATTTAATCTCAAATCTTAGTAGCCAGTATCTATGCATTTTCTTTTTCTTTTGTCCTCCTGCTGCCCTTGCAGAAGCCATTTTGTAAAATCAAATTACCTCCTCCTGCCTTCAGTTAGCATTCCCTGAGGGAGGCCATATGAGTAGTGATACTTGCTCATATTTTAGAGATTTGCAGCAGACTACTCAGTTGTTCATTGCAAGTCTTTGTTTGGCAATAGGCTTTAAAGAGTGAATTAACAAGATCCAATATGTTGGATCTTGAAACATTATCCTGGGATGCTAGTGAATTAACAATTACATGTAATGTTTACTATTGTGGGATTTATTTAAAAATGTACATTTGATTAATATGATATTTGAAAGATGAAGGAAAGTGTGAATACTGTTATAATTTGAGGACATTCCTTATACCAGTGTTTCTCAACCTTGACAATTTTAAGGCATGTGGACTTCAACTCCCAGAATTCCACAGCCAGCATTGCTGGCTGTGGAATTCTGGGAATTGAAGTCCACATGCCTTAAAATTGTCAAGGTTGAGAAACACTGCCTTATACTATGTTTGCATGGTGTATTTTAAGGACTGGTTTACAAATTGAAAACATCTTTTTATTACTTGTTTCTTTTAGATTGAAGAACTTCCTGACGAATTATTCCAGTGCAAAAAGCTACAGTACCTTCTTCTGGGACATAACAGCCTAATGCATTTGTCCCCTCGAGTTGGTGAGCTTTCCAGCCTTGTTCAGCTGGAGCTCAAAGGAAACTATCTGGAGTTACTTCCTGCTGAGCTAGAGGAATGCAATTCTCTGAAACGGAGTTGTCTAATTGTAGAAGAATGCTTGTTAAAAACACTCCCCCTTCGAGTATCAGAGCATGTACAGATATGCTTGGACAAAGTTTGAGTTTGAGAAAAGTGTGCATGTGGACAAAAATCATGGTTCAAAGGATACACGAAAGAAGAGAAACACAGGTCTGCCCATTGACTTCAGTTTCCTAATTATAAATCGACATTAAAATCCTAAGCAGAAATACAGACCTGGCAAGTATCTGCATGCATTTCATTCAAACCTGAAATTAATGTGCAGAAAATTAAGTGGTTAGTGTAATCAGTACTTAAGTAACCGAGATTGAATAACATTATTCAGGTCTAGAAAAGTGGTTGTTTTTTTCTTTTCCATACATGGAAGTTCTTAAATAGTTTGTTGTAAGGACCAACTAATACATTTTTTTTCATATCTCTTGGTATATATAGAGGGAAGGAGAGGCTATTCGTGAAAGCTCTCCTATACAGTATAAAATCTGTTTCAGAACTAAATGTTCACTTCTGTTTATGAAACATAGGAGTGTTTCCCCACATAGGCATAATGAAATTTCATTGGGATGCTATGAACTATATCCAGATTATTGTATCAAAGCTCATGCAATCCAGACTCCCAATAATTTTTGCTGCTTTAACACTGGGGTTAATTATGTATACGTAAAGGAATACAACTGGACCTGATACACAGGTAAAATCAAATCTTGGAGAACTATGCAAGTGGAAAAATTCAACATGTCACTTTTTTTTTTACCATATTAATATATTGCCTGCTTTCATTAAAAGAAAAAAAGGTTAGCGCTTTAATTTTGAGCAACAGTAGATATGTAATATGCAATATAGAGGGTCTCTTTTCTTTTAAAAAACCGGCTATTTTTTCTCTCCCCAATTTTCTGGCCCATCATACTAAGGATTTTAAAGATGCCCCTCAAGTTACAAGTAATGGTAATTTTAAGCACTTAAGAACACAGAGTGTATGAAAAGTTAAATATTTAACGAAAAGCACATGAATCCACAAAGCTTATGTATTTCTCTCTTGTTCACAAATGTCCTTTGAAAAACTAACAGGAGGAACTTTCCTATAACCTCCTCCTTTATTTTCACTAAAACAGTAGGAAAGATTATTTACACCTGTAAAGCTGAGTCCTAACTAATATTTTCTAACAGAGTTCTACTTTAAAGAACTCGGAGAAATTCTGTGGTATCATATTGAGTAGGAAAGGAAAACAGGAGGAAAAATGATGAAAAGTGACCCCTTTAACACACTGTTTCCCTCCTTGGCAAATTGAAAGAGAATGGACTTCAACTCCCAGAATTCTCAGCAATGGCTATGCTGGTTATGCAATTTTGAGAGTTGAAGTCCATATACCAAGGGAATTGCAAAGGTTGGGAAAGTCTGCTTTAACAGAAACCTCTATTAGATTGAAGTCTCTTCTGAGAATGGAAAAGCAATTCCTGTCCAGGGAAGAAAACCGGGACTCAGTCTGTGGTTATTTTGAATGCATTTCAGTCTTGTTTGGGCACATCATCATCTTTGTTCTGGCTGTGGGGCTCCATGTGTGGGGACTTGGAGGGGGGGGATTTTGGCTTCCGTTGTAAAAAAAATAATAATACAGTAACCTGATCGCATGCTTTCAGAGAAAATGAATCTTTTACTTACGTATGATATAGTTTAATAATCCACTATCTTCATCATGTGCCCAATTTTGTGGTTGAGTTGAATGAGATACTGGAAAGGTGAGGGGTTTTTTTTAATGAATTTTTGATTGCTTCTTTAAATACAAGCACTCTTGTTCTAATGATGCCATAAACTTGAGTTGATTATGAAGTGAAAATTTCTCAAATGTTCATGTTATGTCCATCTGAAGAATTACATTCCAAAGAACTTTCAGAGTAACTCTCAGGGAACACACACATGTGTTGTCATTTCATGGGTTGGATTCAACTCACATTTCCCCAGCTTTTTTAGTTAAAGGTACAATTTATTATACACGTAGCTTTTTTTCCAGTGATTTTACTAAGGACAATAAAAGATGATACAAAGTTTAAAAAGTAAAGAAAGAAAAAAGTACAAGAAAATGAAAAAGCAAGAAGCACCCCCCTCTTAACAAAGCAACTTTCCACCCTCATATATAAGTATATAAAGTTTCATAAACCCTCTCCTCTTAATTTACAAATATAAAACTCTTCATCCCATAGCCCAACTTAATAGGCAAATCAAATAACATATTTTTAACTAACTTATCAGCCAAAAGTCAAAAAAGAGCTATAAACTATTAACATTAACATATATAAAATTCAACTTTTCACATCTCAACCATTAGTTGTAAGCGAAACCCTACATAAAAGCATAAAAAGGTCAAATTCCAACACGATATATATTTCTCCCATTCAAAATGCCAGCAGTTTCAGAGAAAACTACCCCAAATAGCAACATTATTATATGCATGTATAGATGCTAACTGTACTTGTGCAATATCCTAGACCACTTTGGAACAAATCATATCAATCTTTTGGAAGGTAGCAATAGACCTTCACCACCAGTCATAAGAATAACATTTCTTGTTCCAGGGAGCACAGGCAACAAACATTTTCAATGCCTCCTTTCCCTCTGTTCATCTCTTTCTGAGACCATTTGAAGCCAGAAAGTAGCTGGTAGCTCTCATTTGGGCTAACAGATCCTGGCCATCAGTTCTAGTCACCTTGTCAACTTGCCATCCATTAAGCTGTTTGCTGAGATGGGCAGCTATAGAAATTGAATGAATGAACAACAAACAAACAAGCTGCCTAGCATCATCAGAGTGGCTAAGCCAAGGAGGATTCAGTCATCTTCATTCAGCTGCTTACAATTAGATGACTGCAGGTTGTAGTAATATATGAGAAACACCTTGAGAAGCAGAGCAAAGGGAATGATCAGAAAGAGAGGGTACAGCCCACAGCTATATAACAGGCAGAGAAAGAGGTTCAGAATGGACTCTTCCCAGTTTTCAGGCTCTAAAGAAAACTGGGGGAGATTTGTACTTTCAGACTTGCAAGGTTCTGTTAAAATAGCCTTACAATAAAACTGAAGTAGCTCATCTGGTCTGTTTCTTTTTTTTTTTTTTTTTTTTTTTTTTTT